TCCTTCCATCAGAACATTTCTATGCATTTAATTATCATCGAAAGAATTCATTGTTTAGATTTGCACTAATATTTATTGTGTCGCTGTTTTTTAAGTCAACACTTATTATTTATTCTTTGGTTACAGCGTTTATAAATATCACTTATTATGAGATAACAAAAATTACATGAAATTAAGTAAGTGGGAGGTAACATATTTTTAAAAAAATATTTTTACCAAAATTTTCTAAAAAAATCATTTCAAAAATAATTTCATTCATTTGTGAATAAGTTCTGAAAATTTCATTAAAATCGGACAGTTATTTGATTTTTACAAGAATTTCCAAATCAATGTGTTTTCACGGAAAAAAGCGCAAAAAAATACTATTTTCATGTCACCGCGATGACGTAAACCAGAAAACTTTAACCAAAATTTCGAACGTGTTAGAAAGGATTAAAAAATTTCAAAAAATAATTCAAAAATACGTTGGTCTTTCAACTTAATAATAACATAAACATTTTGACGATAAAACTTTATTTTCGTTAAGTTTGTGGCCTTTTTCCTTACGCTATGCTGTTTTCCCGCGAAAAACCGGAGGAGCCTAAATAATATTTAGTCTATTTAAAAATCCAAATAACAGCGCTGTCACTTGTACTTAATAATCTTTAATAAAGCATTGTTAACTATAATTCATTTTTCACTTGACAAAAAACCAAGCAGGCAAAACCCAACAGACAAAATCCAACGGATAAAATTCCAGCCACTTATCCAAAAAGTGGACAAAATTTCAGTCTCACAAAAAAAAGTCTCATATATACAAATAAATAAATTTAACATAAAAAAAATTCAAGGAACGTTTAATTTGAATTTAATTCGGGTTTTTCTCCGTTGGATTTTTGTTCTGGATTCTTTTTCGTCTTATTTCCAGTTTTTTTAAGATAAATCTCAGAATGTTATTTTACGGTAATTACTAATCAGCGCCGATCAAAAAGTTTATTCTTCGCTTTCGGACCCATGCTGTTTACTAACGTAATAATATGAATATGAAAGTTACGATAATAAGCTATAGAAAATAAAATTAAATAAAACTGAGTAAAAATTGAATATTAATTGACACTGTTTCATCAGAGAAATTCAGTCATTAGGGATAAAAACAAAAGAAATAAAATGAATATAAAACTAATAAAAATATTTAAAAATATATAAATTATACTTCACTTAAGATATATATTATTATATCTGTTAATAATAGTGAAAAAACAAAAAAAAGGAGATGAGAGTAATACTACTGAAAAATTAATACAAAAGAAAAATGCTTCATCTAAAAAATTCAGACAAATTAAGATTATTATTATTGGTTTAAAAAGCAAGAGAAATAAGATGAAAGAAATACTAGTGAAAAGTGAATAAGAATTAACAATGATTTATGTAAGAAATCCAGACAACTTAAGATTATTACTAATTGATTTAAAAGCAAGAGAAATAAAATGAAAGAAATATAAGTGAAAAATGAATAATAATTAATAATGATTTATGTTAGAAATTTAGAAAACTTAAGATAATTTTTAATTAGTTTAAAAGCAAGAAAGATAAGATTAAAGAAATACTAGTGAAAAATGAATAATAATTAACAATGATTTGTGTAAGAAATTCAGACAACTTAAAATTATTACTAATTACTTTAAAAGCAAGAAAAAGATTAAAGAAATATAAGAGAAAAATGAGCAATAATTAATAAGGATTTATGTAAGAAATGCAGACAACTTAAGATTATTAATAATTAATTTAAAAGCAAGAAAAAGATTAAAGAAATATAAGAGAAAATGAGCAATAATTAATAAGGATTTATGTAAGAAATGCAGACAACTTAAGATTATTAATAATTAATTTAAAAGCAAGAAAAAGATTAAAGAAATATAAGAGAAAAATGAGCAATAATTAATAAGGATTTATGTAAAGAAATGCAGACAACTTAATATTATTAATAATTAATTTAAAAGCAAGAAAAAGATTAAAGAAATATAAGAGAAAAATGAGCAATAATTAATAAGGATTTATGTAAGAAATGCAGACAACTTAAGATTATTAATAATTAATTTAAAAGCAAGAAAAAGATTAAAGAAATATAAGAGAAAAATGAGCAATAATTAATAAGGATTTATGTAAGAAATGCAGACAACTTAAGATTATTAATAATTAATTTAAAAGCAAGAAAAAGATTAAAGAAATATAAGAGAAAAATGAGCAATAATTAATAAGGATTTATGTAAGAAATGCAGACAACTTAAGATTATTAATAATTAATTTAAAAGCAAGAGAAAAGATTAAAAAAGAAATATAAAGAAAATGAGCAATAATTAATAAGGATTTATGTAAGAAATGCAGACAACTTAAGATTATTAATAATTAATTTAAAAGCAAGAAAAAGATTAAAGAAATATAAAGAAAAAATGAGCAATAATTAATAAGGATTTATGTAAGAAATGCAGACAACTTAAGATTATTAATAATTAATTTAAAA